GTCATCTCTTTGTTTACAAGTTAGTACAGAGGAAACTGTCACCCGTGTTATGTTTTTTATTAATTCATGAATAATGTTTGTTTGATTAAGTATTTTAGTGTTCTTTTGAACTTATAAGTGTAAAAAAGGGATTAGAAGGGTTGTCAATGTATGAGGCAGCTATCTAAGGTAAACGGTGAACAACTGTCCCGTGAGCTGTCTGGGGCGGCAAACAGAAGTGTTTTGTGAGACTGATATTTTACAAAGTTCAATGGGAATAAATGGGTTAAAATACCTTGGTTATAAGACATGATTATATATATAACTTAAGAAGTAAAGAAATGATTATACCTTTGATAAATTGTTTTATATATAGCTTTTAGCAGTTAGTGTTTTATAGAAATTAACAGAAACATTTTAGGTGCAATTATTAGACTTTGTGGAACTCTATTCAGCATTAATAAATAGCCAGGTGATAGGCAGCTACAGGTAGCCAGATTAAAATACTATGAAATACCCATGAATTTTCATTATTGAGCTATAGTGGTTTATTGTTACTCCTGTAAAGGTGAAGAAGGGTATGTTGTTCATGTTGCGTGGTACCACTCTTGGGACCCATAATAAAAGAGACACAAATTTGTCCTTGTGACAAGTATTAAAGCCCGCGCCCACCTGGTCCCTAGTTCTTTATATAATAATAAAGGGGAGGGCAAGACAAACAGGGAATGGGAATAGGGAACACAAGTAACAAAGGGGTCTTTCTTTGTATTTTTAAAATATTTTATTCACCACACACGGACACTTCACAACACAGCAGGTGCACAGGACTTCGGGAGTGACCCAGGCCAAAACAATAAACAAAACAACTAATGAACACGTCCCAAACTAATCTAAACCTAAGTGTAACGAAAACAAGTGGAAATGAAACAACAATACTAAGCCCTATCTCCCTAACCAAACAAACAATAAATCAACACGTCTCGCAGAAAAAGAAAAAGGCAGTCACTCCGTACGCACCAAGTTACAAACAAACACACAGTCCAAGGCAACAGTGTCCGAGGGGGCAAGCAAAAGAGTAGTCGACAAACAGGCGGGAGATCAAACCAGAAAAGCAATCAAACCAAAAGAAAGAAAAGGGCAAAACGGAAAATCAGGAACCAATAACCAAAACTGTGATACACAAAATCCAAAACCAGTAACGCAAACCACAATAATCAAAAATCAATGAGCAAAGCTCCAGGGGATGGAAGAGGCGTGGCCAGAATCCGGAAGGCGGGGCAGAAGAGGGAGCTGCCTTCAGCATTATTTCTATCAAGATGTACAGCACACCCTGCAACATGTGACGTCACCACTACCAATGACGTCCGTGCATCCAGCTCGCCGTTCTGCCTGTGTCATCTTCCATGTATGACCCGCTGCCTGCCTTCTGGTTGCCTGGCGATTGGAGGGAGCTTCAGCACTGGCTTGTCATCTCCCCCCTGCTCCCCGTTTGTGTCTCATATTATTGTTTGGACAGTATGATTGGGCACTTAGCCATCTCTCCAATTTGACTCTCCCTGCCGGCCCCTGGAGGATGGGCTCCCCCTTTGAGTCTGGTCCCTCCCAAGGCTTCTTCCTTCTCGGGAGTTTTTCATTGCCACTGTCGCCTATGGCTTACTCACTGGGGGCTTTGGGTGGGGATGCTGTAAAGCGTTTTGAGACGATGTAATGTTGTTGCGCTATACAAAGATAAATTTGTTTGTTGTTGTTTTGGAGAACTTCAAGGAGGTTGCCAGCACCCCAGAGGAGTTCTTGGAGCTCACCCTGCACCAGCTCTCCGACATCATCGAAAAGGATGAGCTCAATGTCGGAGATGAGGATGTGGTGTTTGAGGCCATCCTCCGCTGGATAATGCACGAGCCTGCCACCCGCAAGGCCCATATTTCAGTGCTGTTGCCTAAGGTGACTATAATCATACAGTGTTCTCACTGACATGTGGACATAACAATAGCACGCTAATCCAGTGAAGTCCTCAATCCTTATCACTGTAGCTAGATACTAAACCTCCATTTCCATGTTCCATAAGTCTACAACTTCCAAGTATTTCAACACAGTTAACCGATGGCGAATTAACCGATGGCATAAGACACTCAAATGAGAAATTAAAATGTGGACTTGCTGTTGTATCCTTTATGTTAAGAGTTGCTCTTTTCCAGAGTTATTCAAAAAAGCACCAAGAGACTCATGGGAACTCTCTCCTTCTGGTTTCCTGTGTAGGTGCGATTGGCTCGCATGAAGGCAGACTATCTTATGAAGACCGTGAAGAACAATGGTCTTGTGAAGGCCAGTGCAGAGTGCAGGCTCACAATTAGTGAAGCCTTGAAGGCCATGTGTGATGGTCCACCAAATTCAGACTTTCAATCCCCGCTGCTCCGCCCACACCTGCCCTCTGAGATCCTGCTGGCGATCGGTGGCTGGACTGACCACCAAACCAATAAGATTGAGGCATATGACTCTAGATCTCACTTTTTTGTGTTTCTCCTAAAACATTTGTATGACTGCTTTGGACCACTTATATATGTGCGTTCTTTTTCAGGGAAGGTTTTTCTTTATAAATCCCAGTATTTCCTATAAATGTATGCATGAATGTCTATTTCATTCATATGAACCCTTTATAAATGAGCCCCTGGTTTCTTACATTTAAAGTCCCTAAGCAAGGACCACATGACTTTGGGAAAGTTGATGTTTGCCCATCCCTTTGGTATCTGAGTGATCACTTGCCTTTGGTGTCTCCCAGGTGGGCGGTTTCAACGAGTCTGTGTGCCCGCAGACCGTAGAGGCCTATGACCCCGTAAGAAATTGTTGGCATGCTGTGGCCCCCCTGCTCATGCCACGCGCCCACTTTGGCATCGAGGTGGTGGACGACCTGCTCGTCGTGGTAGGCGGCAGCCATCATTACTTTGGAAACATCATGGGAGTAGAGTGCTTTGATGCGGAGACAGGCAGCTGGTACCGCGCCCAGGACATGGGCACATCCCGCAGGGGCCTGAGCTGTGTGGTAGTGCCAGCGCTCCCCAGCATCAGGCAATACGCTGCCCCTGGTGAGCGCCTGATGGCCACCCCAGAGGCGTTACACCCACAGCCTCCAGTACCATGCCCAGTGGGTGACCACAAGAACAGACCCTCCCAAAGCCGACCCCTAGACATAGATCGGTGCCATTGGCTTTGAATGACCTGTACTGTCAGTGCTGTCAATATAGCCTGACAGCTTCACAACCCCCTGTGGACTTTGAGTGCTGACGTTCAGGGACTCCGCCTTTCAGCCTGGTTCCTCCCGAGATTTCTTCCTAATGGGGAGTTCTTCCTTATTGGCCTCCAGTACCAAACCCTCCCAAAGCCGACCCCTAGAAAATAAAAATAAATCCAGACCTGAGATACCCTGTATGTTTCTTTTGTTCATTAACCTTTTTTGTTTGAGTTTTTGATGCTCTTCCCTAATCCAGTGTAATGTCAAGGTGAAACTGAAGCCTTCTCCAGGAAGCACAGCATAAAAGACAGGGCCCAGAGTGGATGGGATACCAGTACATTACAGGACAGACCCTCACACACAATGGCCAGATTAAAAACACACAGGCATTGAATTCAAACCCGTAACCCTAAAGGTCAATTTACAATTTCTCCTACAGAGCCACTGTATACAGTATATAAAATAGCTGCTTTAATGTAAATTTGAAGTCTGCAGCCTAATCTGGCATCATGACTCTGTTGGGGTCTCCAAAGCAGGTCATCTATTCATCTCTAACTACGCCCCTGGTATGAGTTATAATGGTGGATAAATGACAGTAAGTAAGAGGAGGACAGATACTTCAACAATGTTATTAGTGTTGTTGCGTAGTTTGTCCACCAGAGAGCGATGCACTATTATATTAGTTTATAATGGATCTGGTGTATGTATGTATAAATTGTAAATGGACTGCATTTATATAGCGCTTTTCTACTCCTACGAGTACTCAAAGCGCTTTACAATACATGCCTCACATTCACCCATCCACACTCACATTCACACACCAGTGGCGAAGGCTGTCATGCAAGGTGCCAACCAGCTCACCGGGAGCAATTTGGGGTTCAGTGCCTTGCTCAAGGACACTTTGATGGGGTCAGGAGGAACCAGGGCTCAAACCTGCAACCCTATACCTCCTGCGCCACCATCTTCCCCTGTATATATATATAGTGCCTATAGAAAGTCATCATAAAGAAAAATGTAATTTTACAGAAAATAACTAATTTTTTTTACATTAGTTTCTCTTTTTTAAAAACTCTGTAAAGTTATACATATCCCCCAATTAGTAAACCAACTTTTATTTTACGCATAATTCCAGTAATGAAAAATTACATGTATTTCACATTTTTAAAAAGAAAAATGCTGTTTAATTTATACTGCATGTTTCCCACTTTCTCAAATTACGTACAAATTTATGTAAAATCACAGCAATTGACTAATTTAATATGTAACTCATAATTTAAAGATTTATGACCATACTAAAAATGTAACATTTTTCTTTGTAATTTTGAGGTAAATCCTATTAGTTTTACATTACTTTGACATTTAATTTCTAAGTCCAATGTTTTTTTTAATTACTTTTAAAAAGATTATCCAGAATGGAATTGCACAGGTGAGGCAGCAGCCGCCCCTCACGTTTATGTAGATCATCAGCTCCATGTCTCCCAGAAGCATGAATTAGGAAATACAGAGGACTGATACTCAGCATCCATGCACGTTAGTCCAACCCCCCCACAATCTCAAAAAATGAGACCACATCACTTTTTTTATCTTTTGCATATTGTAGGCGTGTCTGTGTAAAATGTATAGGTTGATATTCTTTATATGCACTAAAGAAAGGTATTGCATAATATTGGCATAAAAATCCAACTTTCCTCATGTTTGTTGCGCCCCACCTGTCTGGTCCCTTCCCCACTAGTGGTGCCCGCCCCGCACTTTGAGAGGCAAGGAGCTGTACCATTGCAGTAAACATTATGCATCTGGCTGGCACAGCGTTTGGCAGAAAAACAGGAAGAATATCAATGGCTGATCTATGTAGTTAAGTGTAATGGATATGGCGTTTATGGTGTGTATGGTTACTTTACTGTTTTGCAGTGCAAAGGGGGAAATGTCACTGTTATGTTTTCATTATTCATTGTGATGTTATTTCTACATTTATAGCCATCAAGGACATAGACTGTTTTAACAAGTTCATTTTTCTAACAGCTGTGAACTAAACTTAACACATTTACTAAAGGACTTGAACGGGTTCAGATTTTTGTGACATTGTGAATCACTGTTTAGGTCCAGATAAAATCTTAGTAATACATGATTACTGCCTTAATTGTGATAAATAAAACGTAAAAAAGGTGAGTTAGTTCTCACTTAAAATGGTGAAGTATGAACGTGAGTTTATTCATTTTTTCTGTATGAACTGAACTTTTAACTAGTTAACATGAAGTGTGAACTTGCACTGATTATTACTTAGAACCCTATCAGGCTATTGATGATGTCACAGCTCTGGGTCCGTGCTTCTGAGCCAACCGCTTGCGCGCATGCGCACAGCAGCCCAGCCGCTCCTAGCAGTGCACGGCGCAGCCACGGCGCACTTTTCAAATCGCGCCTCTTATTTTCGTTTTGAACAGCCGCTCCTCTTAACCCCTTTGCATCTTCACAATTGTATTCGGGTGCTTATCTCACTTATACGATCACAGGCTGTTATATATTTTTAAACAAATTTATTATTGTTTTTATTGTATAAGATTGTACTAAACACTTTATGGAGAACTTAAGTATGCTCAGTATGGAGAATTGAAGCACTGAATGCCGTATTTTTATTTAACTCTTTTAATGTCATGTTGAATGTTTATACTGAGGGGCGGTGGCTCTGACTGTATCCCGTTTGCATGTTCACAAATGTATACAGGCAGAATAAAGCAGTGGACTGAGAGGGTGGACCAGACGCAGAATCCTGTGTCCTTATTCTTCATATATATTTACGCTGACTGGTCATCTCCATGTGCTGTTCAGCTGGTACTGTGGAAATTCCACCAGTACAAAGGGGCGTCCGTCACAACAGCTCGGTCAGTATTGAACCAATTCTTTTCTTTTATTATTATTATTTTTTTTTTGGCTACAGACGATGCACACCTCTAAAACAGGGCTATAGCTTTCATCATGTCAGAATTCCCTTTAATACTGTGTACACAGCCAGCTATTTTTTCAAAAGATATTTTTCCTCAATACTTAAAAAAAAATAATTCTGGCCTCATCGATGTGCATATAGTCACACTCTGGAGCCCTGTCCGGTTGCTTAACCATATATATCCTACGGAAGCAGCAAGGGTGTGCTTTTTCACGTCTTATCCATTTTGGCTTTGTATTTTTTTTTAATAAATAATGAATGGTGGAATCTGTGTTTTTGTGCACTTGTGGTTAGATATATTTTAGAACCTGGTAAGGACCAGATGATTTTTATCATGTCCTGATATGTATTAGGTGAGACCAGAGGTTTAGATTTCAGGTCCAGAGAGTACAAATCCAGACCAAGATTTTGTTTCAACCACCCAGTTGAGCATAAAAAGTCTCAGTCACAGAGTACTCAACTGGTTGGTTGAAACAAAATCTTGGTCTGGATTTGTACTCTCTGGAGCTGAAATCTCCACCTTTGGGTGAGACCCATCTCTTCACCTTAAACTAGAAACACTTTCTACTGTTTTTTTGTTGTTGGTGTTTTTTAACCTTTGAATCATTTTGAATCCTAGTTAAGCTTTTCTTTTGAATGTTAAATTTGAATGTTCTTGTCCCTCCCCACCCCTCCTTGATGCACCAAGGATCCAGTGGAGTACTGCCAGTTTGGAAGAGGATAACAATGCACTGTCACCTTTCATGGTTTCACTGTATATTTGGTCAGGAGGGCTCGCAACATTATTTAAAAAAAATTTAGTGCAAGCTGCACCTTTGCAACATTGTCCCAGATTTGTATTACATTTTGGTGCTCAAACTGACAGGGAGGTAAGAAGCAAACTTGAAACTTTTAAACTTTGAATAATGTTGCGGGAGGCATTTGCAGTGGAACCTTCCACTCCCACACTTGATCACCAGTTTAAAAACTATAGGTCTATACCATACTAAATGTAGTTTCTCAGTTTAGTATTGTACCGTAGGCCTAATTGTACAATACTGAATCTGTGCATTGTATTTAGTGCCATTTAGTGAATTACGATATTTTAATTTAATTTTAAGGTTTTTGTTTGGCAGCCATCGCTGCCAGACATCTGATAATGTTTTGCTTAATTGAAGGCGCTTGATAATATATTTGTAAAAAACCTGTAAAATAAATGTATTTCTCTGCTGAACTTCTGGTGTGGTCATTTTATTTAAGGTGATTTGTTGCAAGAATTTAGGAGATATCTGTAAAATAACAGGATTCATCTGCTGAACTTCTGGAACTGCCCTTTCAATTAATGTATTTGCGGCATAGTGACATGGTGGTTAGTGCTGCTGCCTCACAGCGTGAAGGTCCTGGGTTCGGGTCATTAAGGTCGCTCAGAGGATAGTTGACTGTCCTCTCTCCTCACTTGAAGAACTTCACAGCTCCTGTTGTCTCAGGAACGCAAAGAAAATTCTTCAGGACCCATCACACCCAGGACATGTACTGTTTGAACGCCTGCCCTCAGGCAGACGTTTCAGATCCATAAAAACCAGACTGAGAAACAGTTTTTACCCCTCAGTCATTACCATGCTGAACACTGCTAAGTGGTCAATTTGAGCCAGGGCACCGTTCATGTTTACATTACTACAGTGTTATTTTGTTTACATTACAGCCTTATGTTTCATGCCAAAACTGGCTAAGGAAACAAGTGCAATATGTAGTTTGTTTGTAACTGTTTGTTTGTAGGTACGAAAGAAAGTAGCGTTCAGGCTCTTTCAGAGTGACTGTGTTTTTATTTTGCACTGGAGAATTGCACTTTAATTTCATTGTACAATGTCTCATTGCTACAATGACAATAAAGATTCTATTCTATTCTTTCTATGTGGGGTTTGCACGCTTTCCCCGTATTCGTGTGGGTTTTCGCCCGGGGCTCCGGTTCCCTCCCAAAGACGTGCAGGGTAGGCTGATGGGCGTGTCTACATTGCCCTGCACTGTAGCTGTGTGAGGTTGGTTCCCACCTGCGCCCGATGTCCCCGGGATAGGCTGTGGGAGTGGTTAGGAAGGTTCCACTGCAAATGCCTCCCTTCAAATACCATTCCAACAGTCTCGAACCCAACAAAATTTGGCTTTTGCTTTTGACAGACCCAAATCTCTGACCAGATTGTTTAATTCTGACTGTGTTATGAGATGTGCATCACCGGATGAGCACGGTTCAAAATCCGGATCAATGTCCCTGCCAGTTCCCTGCATTGCAGTTTCTTCATCTGGGTCGTCTAAGGCACATTCCTCTGGTGGTTTCAGAATTGGTCACATGGTCTTTCTGTTCTCGCCATATCATCGGGACAGCAAACGACATTGTCTTTCGAGTGCCTCTGAGGCAGGGTCTCAAACAGACAGCACATGTCGCACAACAAATGTGAGGCGCCCATTACTTGTCTTGATCACTGATTTTACAGCTGTACAGATGATATGCTTTCTTCACGAGAGCAGTCACTGCGCATCTGTGAGGAGCAGCGTATATTTACAACAAATATAGCAGAATGTATTGCGGCCGTTAAGACATTGACGAGACATATCGACCAGCACCAACCGTCCTGCAAATGTCTTTAGCATCTACCTTACTTGTTACATTGCTACTGAGGCAGTGCTACATTCTAAAACAATACATACACACTATCAGTTCTTTATTAACCCAATGAGCAGCATCTGTGTATGTAAGCCGCTTTTATAGCCTGCTGAGGCAGTGTCAAGCTGGTTCCGGCCTGCCCAGGCATGCCCAGGCTGCAAACTTCCACAGAACAGCTTCCAGCCTGGCCTGATTCCATTCTCAAACTGTACAAAACATTGTTGATAGGTCTCTTACAGAAATGAAAATTACTGGACGCAAATATGAGAAAAGTACATGGCAAAACTGAAGATTTCGATGAAACGGTACGTGATGGGCAAATTCGGATGTGATTTTCGTGATCAGCAGCCAAAAATCTATAAGGAAAACCCAACAGTGTTCAAGAAGCAAGAGTTTTGTTGTGCAGTGTTATTATTAAAATTTTTCAATTTGGTCTGTTTTGGTAAATTAATTTCTGGTTCGTGGTTGATGCATCAGGAACAACATCGGGCCCAGTTCCCTCAGTACAGAGAGAAATGTCCATACAAGTGCCAAGAAACCCCAGAGACAGCTGGCAAATCACACTCTAAAGGGGCGAATCTTACTCATTTCCCATCATCCATAGTGAATTCTAACCTAATGTCTTAGACGACACATTAAAATCTAGCATTAAAATTGCTTTATTCTTTGTGTAGGAAAAATGGCGCCCAGACAAAACAGGCAAAGAAAAAGTGCTGCCAGAATAAAATCCAAGATGTTGGGACACATCTGATAACATCCCTATAATCAGGCCAAGTACCTGGGAAAGGAGACTGTGATAAATGTCTGAAGAAAGGACCAGAAGATTGGCAGAGTATCAAATTTTTTGTTCATAACCAAATTGTTTCCAGTGAAAGAAAAATACAACCTTAGTCAGCAGCTGAATTTTTCTTTTTTACAAGAAGTTACTAATTTGTTTTAAACAGACAATGCAGCTGAGGCAGATGTACGATTTGTGTTCCGTCACGTTTTTAAGTTGACTTTAAGGGGTAAATTTTTATTTTTCCTAGTAGCTGCAAAAGAATATTGGGGGTGTGTTTAGTTTTTTCCCGTTTTTACTTTTCTATGGGAAAAATTGACTTATGTTTAGGGGGGAAATGTTTGCATTAGTATTTTTGAAAAAAGTAAACAAACATTTTCCGAAACTTTAAATACTCATATTGAATTTATTTATCTGTTCTTCATAGTTACTTAAGTGAACTTCATCTCCCAGGGGAAGTTTCTGTGCACATACTTGTGTGTCTACAGAACAAATCCAGCTTCTTATCATGTCCCATCTTGTTTCAAGTTGGGAACATTTTATTTTTCAATACAGCAACACTGAACTTTTATTTTCCATATCCCCTAATATGCGGAGCAGGTGGCTATTATATTACGAACAGTTTATTCTTTTTCCCGCTTCAGTTTTATATGCTCAGTACCGTTTTGGACCAGTCAGTATGAAAAACAAGCAAAGCCCAACTCAAGACCAAGTACAGTACGCATGTTTTCAATTCCAAGACAGGTCAAGTCATGCCTCTTCACTGCCATCGCACATGCATGAAGCGAAACTGAGATTCTATGTAACATCAACGTTATGCAACAATGCAGAACAACAAGTTGAGAAATCTGATAGCCTGGGGGTGGATCAAATGTTCCAGACAAGACTAAGAAAAATGGAAAAATGGACTTGAGACTCAAGTACTATAACACTGATGTGGCCAATGGACTGAAAAAATATATGACTGTGACTGACGGTATGATCAATGGCAACAAATTTTGCAGCAGCAGGGCACAGCAAAACAGAAACAACGGTCTCAGTAGAATCAACAATAAATAACGTGTCCAGTACCAGTCTGGCAATTTTTCGGCACAAGTGGGTGATGATGGAGGCACCAATCTGGCAGAGCTGGCTTTGGTGCTACTCCGTTTTCTGTGAGATGGGGGCTGGACAAACAATTTGTCGGGGGGAATTCTGAGGTCTGGGGATTCGGGGGTAGCCCGAGTATTTCATTTGGCTATTTATTCATCCCCAATAAATACACTTTTGTATTTAAAAGATTAAGATGTGACACCGTCTCCCAATATAAAACTTTCGTACCTTGTTGACTAGCCTATATGGTTTGTTTCCATAGCTGATTTGCATATTTATGCGGCTGTGATGACTATGGTGATGTTGGGCGTTTCTTCTCGTATCTTTCTTTGCGGGAAGCGCCGAGTCTCCCACTTTCCATACATCTGCATCGGTCGTAGTCCACGATGGACAAGACAGTTGTTGACTGCGTTTTTAACGCTCTAGATAGTCTCGGCGCAGACGATTACACGCGATTTAAGCGGAAATTGTGCGACACGAGAAAAATCAGGTATGGCCAAATTGAGAATGCGAATAAAATAGACGTCGCACAAAAAATAGTCAGTACATTTACCAAAGCTGGAGCCCTGAGCCGGACTGCGGACGTGCTGAGAGCCATTGGCCTGAACGACGATGCAGATGCGCTGGAGGAGGAAGGTAATGACTGTAAACAAATATGAGGTGTATGAAAAGATTAACCGAGTTTTAAAGTAAGTTCACTTAAAGAAAAAATATTAATCATCCACCAACAATTCACTTAAAAAAGTAAAACTTTGGATGAATGTTTCACTGTTATATATATATTAAAGTTATATACATAGGCTATTGCAGTTTTATTGTATGGTTTGTTATTTTCTTGCGGGTTTTGGAGGTCTCTTCAGGGGGCGGGATGATTGCATGATTGATTGATGATGATGATGATGATGATGATCACCGAGGGAGGCTGTAAAGGGAATGATTTGGGGGAGGTTCGTAGAGTACCCGTTTGTAAGACGTGGTCATTAATATGTTTAAAGAAAACGCCTTACTTATTTAATATATATTTAATATTTAATAGTTTAGAGCCCAGGTTATATACGCACGTGTAAGCAGGCTGCGTATGACGTGCAGATGTAAGTGCAGAGACGATTCTAAGGAATCTGGGGGATTTAGGCAAAAATACTCCGTGGGGATCTCCAACTCCCCTTCCCCCGGCACGGTAACATTTATTACCATGATTTTATCGCGAAGTCCACATTAATTTTATCAACAAAGAGTAGCCTATTTAATAAACACAAGTCCTTTAATTTCACTTTCGTGAAAAACAAAATACACAAAAAAGGCAACACAATTAATTCAACATTTGTGTGTAAAAATAGAAAAAAGAGTAATGGAGTAAAATGCAAATATATAAATAAGAAACTAAAAATGCAATATAAGAGTAAGGAGCACGTGGTAATAAGACTCTACCTGGAAAGTGCAATATTAAAATTTACAAGACAGATTATTAGCTGTCTTGGTCTGTAAGGAAACCTGTTTGGCGTGTGGATTAAAGCGACATTATTGTGTTTTAGGTACCGAAGTCTCCGGTGCTGTAGGGAGGGAAGTCAGTTCGGGAGATAGGCGAGAGAGGGGCGGGACTTCAAGCAACGCGGCAAATGGTAGGAAACACGATTCTTAATTTTACTTAATTGTACTTTTAAAAACATAGATAATATTTGAATACTTTAACACTGGTGACGTTATTAATTTCCAAGTTCTGTCTTTTTCCATACTAGGGCAACATTTTGTTGACAGGAACATGAGCGACCTGATCAACAGGGTCACCACCGTTGCACCGATTTTAGACCAGCTTCTTCAGAGTGGATTCATAAAGCATGAAATGTACTCCAGCATTTATAATGAGAAAAACTCCTGTGACCAAATGAGGACCCTAATGCTCAAAGTCATCATGCCTGGTGGCAACCGAGCCAAAGACGAGCTCTGCAGGATATTAGAGAAAGAACAGAAATATATAATGGAGGAGCTGAAAGGACAGTGAGACAGGTTTATATGTGTAAGGTAACCCTGTCTCAAACCAGGCTTTCTTGTACTGTTTATAAGCATTTTATTTTTGCCACACTTTGCCTTAATCTGTTTATTATAACAGTCACTGAGACTGTTAATTCCTTTTATTTGCCAGATTACTTAACCTAAATGCTAGCAAATAGCTCTGTGCTGAAGAAAGTTGCCCCATAAAATATGGTAAAAATCCCTTCAGGTGAAGTTCTTCTGGGAAAATATTGGCATTGATACTGAAACATTGTTTACAAAAGGAAAGTTTGTCTCATTTTAACAAGTCTTAGGTGATTAATGCATGCAACACGCTCTGCATGTGTTACTAGAAGACTGTCTTGTAAATTTGGAGTCAGTCTTGATTTGATACCGTCTATATGGGTTAATCTGGGTCGGCTCAACAAATAAAATGTGACATTGTAGATAGATACAGGCTATTGTGGAGATCTGTTACACATACAAGGTACAGCAGAGATGTGTATGTAACCACATTGAAACTTTCAGACCACAAAACAAAATTTGTTACCTGAAGACCGAAATGGTCTGTAAAATAATTAAACAAAAAATTCCAACCTCTATTTTGGGAATTCATTGTGAAAGTGAGCTGCACTCAGTATGCAAATGACTATGTTAATAACACTAAGACAAGTTTGTGTTTATGGATTAAAACATGGTTCGGACCAGCTCTTTCTCAAATTGATCTTTTCTGTTTCTGAATAAAGAAATTCATGTATTCGATGAGTGCCTGGTGGATTTTATTGCCCTATATCTGTCATCACAGTTTCATCAAAGTGCTTTAATATTTCATATGTCATGATAGTGTTGTCAAATTGCCCAAATGTTTGACTATGTCATGATTGAATTTTATCATAATCACTCTTGGTTAGGCTATTCTGCCCTGTCATAGTGTAAGATGCCTTTAATTACTGTACTAAGTAGTTTGGATACTTTCTGGAAGTGCTGTATTTTAAACTTTATTATGGATTATTAAAGCAGAATATGAAAACATTCAATACAGTACAGTACTGTAATATACATCAGACAGCGCTGTACAGTACTGTAATATATATCAGACAGCGCTGTACAGTACTGTAATATACATCAGACAGCGCTGTACTGTACAGTACTGTAATATACATCAGACAGTGCTGTACAGTACTGTAATATACATCAGACAGTACTGTACTGTACAGCACTGTCTGATGTATATTACAGTACTGTACAGTACAGCGCTGTCTGATGTATATTACAGTACTGTACAGCGCTGTCTGATATATATTACAGTACTGTACAGCGCTGTCTGATGTATATTACAGTACTGTACTGTACAGCGCTGTCTGATATATATTACAGTACTGTACAGCGCTGTCTGATGTATATTA